GTGGATCATGGCAGCTCTTGGCGACACTGAGCATTGACATTCTGTTCTTGTGCTGCTTTGGCATTATTTACTGATATTATTCCTTCATTCTGTCAGCAGTTCTCTGCAGAGCTAGGGGCTGGTGGCACTGCTGGGGTGACAGCGTGTGTGGATGCAGCAAGGATCACTGCTCAGTTCTCCAAGCACCGTCTGACACAGAGAATTTGCTGAGCTTGTGCGTGCTCCAGGGCCGGGGCAGCCCACGTGTTATTCACTCTGTGTTTCATGCCTCTTTACGCTCCTGTGACCCGGATGAATTTAACAGGGAGCTGAGCAGAGCATTCAGTTTTCCTGTGTGTGGTTTTTATACTTTTGCCCATCTTAATCCAGTTTTTTGCACCACGGTGCAGCCTCTAATTATAAATCAAATCATACAACCTGCAGCCTCAAACTCCTGTCTCATTCAGCGAACGTTTTTTTTTCTTCAGATTTTTCTTTTATCCTTGTTATTTGATGTTTGCTTACATATTTTATTTATTGCATGTAATTCAAGTGCTGCAGTAAATACAGAATTGCTAATTGTAATGGATATTCGTTATGCTTTTCACTATAGTATCTGAATACTTTTTAACCAGCATAAATGTACCTTCACAATATTGCAATTTCACTGATGCAGAGCAGGGAAATTAATGGCAAAGCTACCAAAATTCTCCGCTGTATGTTCCTCAGTGACAATAAACAAATTTCCAGCTTGTCCCAGTAAAATAATTGTAAGTATTATCTTAATGAGTCACCCACCAGGTTTTGGGTGGGCTTTCAAAGGGAGCTGCTGGTGCTGGTTACCCCCTCTGTGTGGGGTGTGAGGAGCCTCCCTTACCTGCCTTGAGATAATCAGATCTCATTTTGGCCGCAAGAACATCAGGCTCCAACATAAAAACTGTTAGTCCCTTTGGTAGCCTCACTAGAAGGATTTTTTTTTAAATCTAATTTTTCTAATAATAAGACATACTATTCCAGCTGTCATCTTAAATGTACTCAGGCCTTTAGTGCCAACATAACCTGTTAGTTTAAATGCCTGTGTTCAAGTCATAATCTATGTATATGAGCTAACCCTGTCCTATCTCAGCCTTTTTTTTTTGTTGGTGTTAGCTGATACAAAACTTTAACGTTTTCTCATGATAGATTCTTTGCTCTTATAACCATTTTAGGAAGCCTGTTCTATGACTATTGTAGTTCTCGTGTATCATTCTTGAATATAAACTGTAACCCAAAATTCTGCAAGAGATCTGTTGCCGTAACATCTGGATGTGCCTTACCTGGTCTTTAAATTACCTTTGTTATCTTCATTTTTTTTTGATGTTTCATCATTTCTGTCACTAAATAATGCTTCTGAGTCTTTATCCTTCTCCAGTAACTGTGATGAATTCCCACTTTACAAGCATTTTGGCTGGTAGTCCCTGTGTGAACCACCTTGTGCTTTGCATTAATCTTATTACTGCATTCCACCAGCCCATTCCTCAGGATTCCTGTGCTGTTCCAGAAACTCATCCCATTCTTCATGTAGGATATTCCACTCTTCTTTATTGATGCTTTTTAATTTTGTCAGTAACTAGCTATATTAATGCTCTTCTTTCAATTCTGTGTGCTCATGTCACTTAAAAGCAATAAATAGCACCAGTTTGGAGACCAGTGCTGGAGGAGCTTTTAAACCTTTCGTTCTCTAGCCCAAAATTTACCATTTTAACATGATTCAGCATGGGGGGTTTTAGCCATTTTTTTACCCACACAACTTTTCTTGCCCCAATCTTCATATTTTCCAGTTGAACTCTTATTTTCATATGTGGCGCCAGATCAAATGCTTTACTGAATTTTATGTGGGTGAGATCAACTGTGTTTTCCTTTACGAAGAGAAATCTGCTTTCTTATCAAAGAGAGAGATCAGATCTGCCTGGCATGGTTGCCTTTCTTAAACCCATGTTGCATTTTAGCTGTTTATTTTCCTCCACATCTTTTCCCTCTCTAAGGGAAAAATAGCTTAAGTTTTACATCTCGTTGAGGTTGCGCTAATTAGCCTCTGGTCTTCTGGACATTACTTTCCAAATCTTTGGCTTGATTTGGGGTTTGTTTTTTTTTTTCTTTCTCCCCATAGTAGGATGTCAATTTTAGATAATTTCATACCCCTAGAGGTGGCAGAAAAAAATTCACTGATTTATATCACAACTCAACTTCAGTGCTTCATTTTTTTGTTTGGTGGTAGTTTCTTTTCTTGGGTTGTTTGTTGGGGTTTTTTTGGGTATTTTTAAAGAAAGATGCTATGTCATGGCTATTGATACAGGAAAAAAAAAGTAATGAATTTTGAAGTATTGAAAAATCCTTAAAAAAAAAAACAATATTGAGAAGCTTCTTAAGTAATTATAAACTGAATCCAGGACTCCATAATCCTGTGTAGCTCTTGATAACTCCTGGTGGATCATGGCAGCTCTTGGCGACACTGAGCATTGACATTCTGTTCTTGTGCTGCTTTGGCATTATTTACTGATATTATTCCTGTGTTCAAACAGGAAGAGAAGTGTGCTGTAAGGTGGTTCTTAAGAAAATATGGTGTAAGAACAGCCAAAATCAGTAAACCAATACAATAGGAAGGTGAGTCTGGAGGGTTGCAGTGCCCCCAGTGATTGCCTGACCCCGTGCCACTGGAAAACCCGGGTCATTAACTATGTTTCCTGAAGGTAGGAAAAAAACAATGTTTTTAAAATACTTTGTTTCCTCATGTGTGTAGTTACACCCCTTCCCAATACATACAATGAATATGAATCTTTCTGAGCCCGTTTAGCTTGGGTACCTCATTAGAGAGAGAGGAATGTAAGCAACAACCATCAAATGTTTGGATTTGAGGTTTTTTGTTGTTGTTGTTTTGGGGTTCTTTTGTCAGATATACTCGATATTTTTCTAAATATTTGAAAACTATGTCTTTTTGTTGTTCTTCGGTGTATCTGGGGCTCAGGCTTCTGTTTTGCAGAGAAAGTGAACAGTTCTGACCAATGCCTTTGTTTTACTGAGATACTGAGATACTGATAGTATCAGCCTCTATAAAGCAGTAATATCACTAAGGCTTGATTGGGGGCCTCTTTAAAGCCAGAGATAACCATTAGATAAAAATGACCTTATTTCACAGTTCCAGGACCAAATTCTAGAAGTTCCAGCGAAGCTGGTCCGAACTCTCTTAAATTTTTGTTTCTCATGCAGGGAAATTTCACTGAGGTCCAGACTTGGTAAGAATCTTACTTTTAGACCATGGATATTGGAGGAAGATTTCAGGGTGGAGGCTTTAAAAGCAGAAAATGGGTCCCATCCCCTCACGCTGACTTCTGTGTGTATAAAGTCCTAAAGCTCCCCATGTGGCTTAGATTTACAGAATTAAGATTTTGAAATTCTAGATTTAGGGGTGACTGTTTAAAGGTAGATAAGCAGAATTTCTTGGACCTTTCATGGTCCAACGTTTCAAAGCTGATCCGCACCTTGTTTCTGTGGAATAGTGCAATTGGGTTGGTTTTGGTAAATTTTCTAGCAGTTATTTGTGCCTGCCTTTGTAGGTCTGAAACGAAGGGACATTACGAAGTGTTCTCCCCATAGCATGAATATTTAATTGTTTGTGTGTTCTTTCTCGGGGTTGTGTGTGTGCACCTATATAATATTAACAACATCTCTTAAAATAAGTCTAAAAAGAGATTTTCAAAGCGCGTCACACGATTGAGTCACAGTATGGAGTAAACTAAGCTATTGCAGAATTTCACCTCAAATACTAGAATGAATTTGCCAAATGGGTGATATTTTACAAATAAGCATGAATTCAGCTAACTTCCCCTAGAGATTTTATTTCAGCGCGGTCTGAGTTCCCAGAACTGATGAACCGGTGTCTTTTAAGAAATCAAAAAAAGTCTTTGACCCTTTCCAAAAGAAGATTTTCTTTGTTTTCTCAGAGGTACAGATACTCATATATATATTTTTTTTTTTTTTTTTTTGAGCTGGGAGCTGGTATGAGTATTCTGGGCGGATCCTGCAAAGTGCTGAGTACATGGTTAACTTTAAGGGAGTATATGCTTAAAATCACCGGGACTGCTGATGTTTAAAATTATATATATATATATATATATATACACGTATACTTAAGTACTCTGATGGCCTGAGGCCAGTGGCTTTTGCATCTTCTAGGTCCGAGCCCTAAAGAGACTACAGCGAAGGGCTGCAGCTGAATTTTCTTTTCCCTGTTTTAAATAGGAGGTTTAAAGCACAAATTCTGACAGATGTTTAAGTTAAAAAATATATATATGTATATTTAATTTAAATGTGAGGAAAGGAAGGTGCAGAGTGGATATGCCTGGGTTCTCTCTGTCTCTCCTGGCATCCCCTTAGTGCAGGGTTTGCAGTTTTCAAGCCCCGCTCCGTTCCTGCCGCATCCTCTTCCAGCTTTTCCATCTGCTTCATTCTGTTTGGAAAATGGCAATGTAGAATGTGTTTGGTGTAACCTTAATCCTGAGCAGCATCTGGGCTCCGTTTAAAAAAAAAAAAAAAAAGAGAGAGAGAGGAAAAAAAGGGAGAGAAAATCACGGAGAAAGGAGGCCTTTTCTATTAAATAGAAACAAGATGTTCAAGGGGGGGGGGTAGAAAACATCCAAAAATAACCACAGGAAAATAATATTTTTATACATTTATATCAATGGACGTCTTTATTAATATGGATTTTAAGATGTTTTCCCGCACAACCCTGGTGTTTGTACTTTTAGCCTCACCTCTGCCCTGGGGGGTCTCGTGTCGGGGGGGAAAAACGGATTTACGCTGTTTTAAAAAAGGAGAGAAAGGAGAAAGGGGTTTGTCTTTAAATCTTATTTGAACAGCCACGCTGTTAATTACTCACAAATATGTAAAAGTTAATGCCACCATTAAAAAAAATTAAAAAAAAAAGTGACAAACCGAAAGTCCTGTGCGACGCCTTATGCCATTTCCCTATTAAACTTTTACAGGCCTTTTAGAGCTCCCTGATGGCCAGGAGGTTTTCCTAGATCCCCCAGCAGAAAGTCAGGAAGAAGATGCGACTGTGGCCACCCCAGCCCGTGGCTACTGATGCTCCCCCCTCGCTAGCCTCCCCCCCCCCGCCCCGATGCCACCAGCCCGAAGCCGCCGGTCAGGTCGGTGAAGCCCCCGGGGGGGGGTGGGTGGTGGTGGTGGTGATGGGGCTCCTCCTGCCAACTCCTGGGATATTTTCAGAGCTTTTTTGGCCACCGGGAGCCTTTGAAAATCTGGCGCTAGATGTCTCCAGCACCTGGAGCCCGCGCAGATGACTCTCTAATTGCGCTCCCCGCCGCGGATCATTGTGTTTGGCCACACGTTAAAACAGCCGCTTCAGAGCCAGTTCCGATCGCTGGGGTGTGACTCCTCATTACAAAGCCCAGAATAACGCTTTGCAACCAATTGCGCTTCCCTGGGGGGTGTCTCCCCCTTTCACTCCCCCTTCTATTTTTCCCTTCCCATGTGGGTTTTTTTTTTATTTTTTTTTTTTATTTTGCTGTTTGATTTTCCCGGAGCCGGCGGGGACCCCGCCGCATCTGCCCTGCGCTCCCGGGCTCGGAGCTGCCGAGCAGCCACAGAGGTCGCTTCTGAGCACCACGGAAAGAAAAAAAAAAAAAAAAAGAAAAAGACGGTTTTATTTGTTTTTTTTTTTATTTATTTTTCTTTCCCCCACTCTCAGTCCCTCATGGCCAGAGTGGAAAAGCACGTTTAAATCCCGCACTGGGATTCCCCACGTGGGTGTCCCGTTGAGCTGCTGTCACAGCCACTTGGCAGAGGGTGAGGGCTCTTCCCTCCCGCCTCCCCTCACAACCCAGAAGGTGATTAACATTTATTTATTTTTTTTTTTTTAATCGAGCGGTGTTTTCAGGACACCACGCCGAAACCCAAACTTGGGCGAAAAGCTTCCTCTCCTCACCAGCAGGCTCTTGCTGTTGGAATCCACCACCAAGTGGTCCAAATAAAGAAAAAGGATTAAAGTTCTCCTCCACCTTCCCTGAATGCCTAGTTTTCATGTGATTAATTATTTTTTTTTTTGGTCAGCGATTTGAGGGTTAATTCAGCCAAGTTTATAGCGTTTGGCGTTCTGGGTCTGTGTACATGCAAAACGCATGTGTGGTTTTGGTGTGAAGAATTAGCAGTGTGTACCAGGAGGCAAAACCCAATTGTTTATGTGAATATAGAATCTATTGGATATGGGTATAAGCATTAAAGCTGGGGGGGTGAGGGGCTTGTTTTTTAAGTTGTCTTCACCCCATTCAGAGATCACACTCACCACGTGTGGTGTTTCGACACATTTTTGGGGGGAGAAAGGGAAACAGAGTACACAAAGTTGCAGCTGGTCTTCAGCCCTCGCTGTAATTATGGAGGGAATCTGTCTATCTTTATAATTATTTAGTTTAAACAGCCCTAGAGCACGTCTCATCTTTAAGGCCCTTTCCCCCACGTCTCTAGGAGGCACCAGGAGATAAAAATCTTGGCAAAAAGAGCACCGAAGGATGTGAACCCCTCGGAAAATTCCACTTCCTGCCCAGCAACCGCCTCTCCTCGGGTCTCTCCCTCATTCCCATGCCCTTAACGAGGGATTTCTGCCTCCGGCTCCCAACACCAACTTCCTAAAGGAATGAAATAAAAGGGGCCGTGCTGCGGAGAACACCCCAACCCCTTCACTTCGGTGGTTAATCTCAGCTCAGCACACTCTCTCCCTCCTCTCTCCCTACTTCCCTCCATTTTATTTCTCCGCTGCTTTGCTTCGGTTGGGTTTTTTGTTGGTTTGTTTGTTGTTTTTTTTAAATTTATTTTATTTTATCCCTCTTTTCGGCTGACTCCAACTCTCTCCCTTCTCTTCCTCCCCCTCCTCCTCCTCCTCCTCTCCTTCCCCCCCTCCCTGAACTTGCCGGGAACAAAAGGCTCCGTTCCCGATCCAGCCCGCAGTTGCCGTGAGAAACTTCCCTGCGAGCGCTGCCTGTCGCTCCGCTCTCTCCTCCCTCCCTGCCTGGGGAAAATGGCAGAGCTGGATGAAAAAAAAAAAAAATTAAAAAAAAATAAAAAAGGGGGAAAAAAAAACCCCTTTCTCAGCGCCTGCCTTTCCCCCAGCAACCCCCTCCCCACTCGTGACGCTTGAAGTCAAACTTCTCTCAAAATACACTTTAGGAGGGCAGAATTGCACGGGAGTGCGTGTTTGGTGGTGTTTTCTTGTGTGTGTGTGTGTCTTTTTTTTTAACACTCCACTGAAAAGAGCAGCCGAGGGGTGGGAGAAAGGCAGGGAGAGCTCGCTGGGAGCCTGCTCCTGCCTCCAGCTCCCTGCATCCCCACTTCCCAACTATTGGAAACACAAGAATAGTTTTGCTTCAGTGGGAAAATCCAGGCCCAGAGTTGAGGTCTTTCTCTTTTCGCAGCTTTAAAAGCCCTTTTTTTTTTTTTCTTTTTTTTTTTTTTAACTCTTACGAGTGGGGATCGCAGTGTAACTGGGTTTTGCCCACCCGACGGGTCCCAAATCTGTTGGGATTCGGGAGGAAATTAGACGGTTGGCTCCCGATCCAGTGCAGGGGTTTTAAGAAACTCCGCTCCGTGTTTTGTTTGATTTTTTTTTTTCCCTTTTTTTTTTTTTTTTCTTTAATAAGTAGATTTACTCTTCCTTCTCCGAGCGCCTAGCACCAGAGCTGCTGGTGGAGGGCGGCCGGCGTGCACCCCCCTCCTGTACAAAATAAATGCTGTTTGTTCTTTCTCTCCACTTTATTCCTCTTTTCCGAGCTCTCCCCTTTCTCTGCCTTTCTCTGGAATTATTTATTCCAGCTCCTTGATTTTTTTTTTAATTCTTCCTCGATGGCTGAGAGCTGCTCTCCTCGCTTAGCCCCGAATCCGCACACATGTGCCCCAAAACTCCACTCTGAGCACGCTGGGGGTGGCACCAGCCCCGAACCCCACGAGGGGGGGTTTTGGGGAGGGGGGAGATGTCTTCTCTCCCCGTCCCTTCCCAACTCCGCTTCGCCTTTTACTCCTCCTAGCGAGGGCTGCTCAAATCATGCCTTGCCTTGAGTCAGCCTGAGCCCACTCTCCTCCCTGAATATCCATCCAAAGTTTTGCAGCTGGGATGTGACCGGCGAGGCTGGGGCAGGGGCTCCGTCCCCTCCCCGAGGTGGGAAGCAGGAAAATATATATATATATATATATATTCCTCTCCTGCCCTGGAATTGCGCTGCTCCAACCCTTCAGCCAAAGGACACAGTCCCCTCCTGCTTCAAAACTCCTGCCTGTCCCTCTGCCAGCCCTGGAGAGGCAGATCATACAATATCTTGACGTGATTATTATTATTCTTTTTAAAGAGGATAAATAAGCATCGTCTCCCCCACAGCGCCCAGCACATTAGCCACTCGCAGCAAACAAATAATTCAAATAATATTAATCTCAGCGGTTGTGAAGCCGCAACGAGGGCGCTTAACCTAGATATGCCAGTGGCTAATGTGTGGGGCTGGGCACATCCAAACCTTTATGCAGGAAATGTAATTTTCTTTAGTAAAAAAACTACTCGGAGAAAAGCGGAGGTACAGTAGAGAACCTTCCTTTGACTCCAGCCCATATTTTGCAGCGCGCTCCGTGAATTATAATAGATGGGTCTCTTGTTCTTGGGTCCAGTCTGCATATCTCAGCACACTCTGCCTTTCAGTAAAAATGGAAGAGCATCCTTCTTCACCCAACTGTCCTCACCGCTCCTCGCCTCCTCTCCTTCTACTTCAGTTGCGCCAGTTCATACTTTTATTACGGAAACTCTGACCCAAATCCCGCAGCAATAATCCAGTCCATGTTTGTAGCCAGTTGAAAAAGGCTGGGGATAATGATAACTTGTGTGTGTGTGTGTGTGTGTGTGTGTGCGAGCGTGCGGGAGCGCCGCTGACTTTAGTCCGGTTTCCATGTCAACGATTCAGTCCATATTTGCCATCACACAGTTGGCAGAGCCTTTTTTTTTTTTTTTTTTTTCCCCTCAGGCAGAAGGTGCAGTTTAATACGCTCTCAGTCGCAAATTTTTAAGCTCTCCCCCGAGATTTCTCAATCCTGTTCCTAAATTTGCAATATTCGAGTGAACCGTCTCGGAGAACCAGTGAAGAGCTGCGGTATTAATGAAGACAGACAAAATCAAAATGACATTTCAGGCAATTACTTACATAATGAAGTGACTGACTCGGAATATACAATATTTAGATTTATCATGACACTCGAAACGGGATGCGGTCA